AGGAATTGTTCCCTGGGATGGAATTCCCAGATTTGCTGTGGCTGCCCCTGGATCCCTGGAATGTTCAGTTCCAGGTTGGACACTGGGACAGTGGGAGGTGTCCCTGCAATGGCAGGGGTGGAGCAGGACAGGTTTTAAGGTCCCTTCTGACCCAAACCATTCCATGGTTCTGTGGTTTCAGTATGGAAAAAAAAAAAAAAGAAACAACAGGCAACCATTGTCAAGCCCTCCTGCATTGCAAAAAGTTCATTCCTGCAGAGGAGATGGGTTGTTTTCAGTAAAATCTCTATTTTCAGGGTGTATTTATTAACTCTCTGACTTCTGTGTCTGCAGGTGGATGAAAGCCAGACTGGAGAGCCAGGGTGGCTTGGTGGAGAACTGAAGGGGAAAACTGGATGGTTCCCTGCAAACTATGCCGAGAGAATTCCAGACAGTGAAGTTCCAGCCTCTGCCAAGGCCGTGGCTGAGCCCTGTGCTGCTCCCAAGGTGTCTGTGCAGGAAAGCTCCACTGCCCTGGGGGCTGCTGCCCCTCCAGAGGCTCCTGCAGCAGCCAACAACTGGGCAGACTTCAGCTCCACGTAGGTGTGGGTGCTGCTGAGCCCCTCGGGGTGTGGGGTCCTGGGGAGCTCAGGGGCCAGAGTGCAAACTAAAAATCCCTCCTGTGCTTCCTGTGGGAATCAGTTCAAAATTCAGCCCCCAGGGAGGATGTGGGCATGGGGAAAACCCAAGGTTCTCATTTCCCTTGGAATCACTGAATCCCACACTGGTTTGGGTTCAGGGGACCCCAAATCCCCCCCAGAGCCACCCCTGCCATGGCAGGGACACCTCCCACTGTCCCAGTGTCCAACCTGGCCTTGGGCACTGCCAGGGATCCAGGGGCAGCCACAGCTGCTCTGGGCACCCTGTGCCAGCCCTGCCCACCCTGCCAGGGAACAATTCCTGATTCCCAAAATCCCATCCAGCCCTGCCCACCCTCACAGGGAACAATTCCCTCCTCATCTCCCACTTAAATTTCCTCTTTTTCAGTGGGAAGCCATTCCCCCTTGCCCTCCACTCCTCTTCTAATGAAAATCCCTCTCCAGCTCTCCTGGAGCTCCTTCTGATACTGCAGCCTCCCAAAATCCCTTTTTCCTCCATTAATTGCCACCAAGCCTTATTGAAGGCTTCCAACTTGCTTGGTTGAGAGACAGTCTGTATTTGTTGCTGTCTAAGCAGCCTGAGGATTTATTGTTATGTATAATATGCTGATGGCAGAGATGACATGAAAAAGTTTTTGAATTCCTGACCACAGCATTATTAAAACTGATGGAATTTGAGCACATGCCCTACCCTGGCTGTCTTAACTCAGTACACTGGGCACTGAGACCAACTGCAATTCCTTGTCTTTTGGCCATGAAATCCATATTTATAAACTGCTATGTCAATAGGAGGCCCTGGCACAGGGTGCCCAGAGCAGCTGTGGCTGCCCCTGGATCCCTGGCAGTGCCCAAGGCCAGGTTGGACATTGGGGCTGGAGCAGCCTGGGACAGTGGCATTGGATGGATTTGTAGCTCCAAACCCAAAACCATTCTATGATTCTGTGTCTAAAGGAAAGGGATGTGAGAGGTCAGGGATGTGCAGGGGGAAAGATTCCATACCAGTTTTGGAAAGAGTGTTTAATTCTTTTTATTTCTCTTTCCACTGTGTGTAATGCAGCCTGCACTGCTGGAACTTTTGGGACACAGATGGGAATTAAAATAAAATCCTGTGCTTTAGTGGCCAGGACAAGGAGTTTGGGGGTTGTCTTTGAAGGTGAAGTTGTGTTTAACCAGAACTCGGTTGCTGCACCAGGAGTTCAGGTGCTCATACTCATGGAAAAGAAATTAATGTAGAATATTGAAATATTTGTTCTGTGTGCCTTTTTTTGTTCCTACTATTAAAAACAGCAGAAATGACATCTTTCTTTTCTTTTTTTTTTCTTTGCAGCTGGCCATCCAACAGCAGTGAGAAGGCAGAGAGTGATAACTGGGATGCCTGGGCAGCTCAGCCCTCCCTGACCGTGCCCAGCGCGGGGCAGCTCCGGCAGCGCTCGGCTTTCACCCCTGCCACTGTCACAGGCTCCTCCCCGTCCCCTGTGCTGGGCCAGGTCAGCTCTGGCCCCACCCAAACCTTCTGAGCCACCGGAGAGCAAAGTGTGAACCTTGGCAGTGCATTCAAACACTCCCCTGACACAGGGACGGGGGGACAGGGAGGGTCCCACCTGCAGAGCTGCCCCAAAACTGGGGAGGAGCTGGAGCTGCTGCAGAGAGCCCAGAGGAGGCAGCAGGATGAGCAGAGGGATGGAGCAGCTCTGCTGGGAGGAAAGGCTGGCACAGCTGGGATTGTTCAGCCTGGAGAGGAGAAGCTTTGGGCTGAGCTCAGGGTGGCCTTGCAGGGCCTGAAGGAGCTGCAGGAACCATGGAGAGAGACAATTGCCAAGGGATGGAGGGACAGCACCCAGGGAATGGAGGGACAGCACCCAGGGAATGGAGGGACAGCACCCAGGGAATGCAGGGACAGCACACAGGGAATGGAGGGACAGCACCCAGGGAATGCAGGGACAGCACACAGGGAATGGAGGGACAGCACCCAGGGAATGCAGGGACAGCACACAGGGAATGGTTTCAAACTGAAAAATTACAGATTTAGATCAGATATTAAGAAAAAATTCCTCCCTGGCACAGGTTGCCCAGATTTGCTGTGGCTGCCCCTGGATCCCTGGAATGTTCAGTTCCAGGTTGGACACTGGGACAGTGGGAGGTGTCCCTGCCATGGCAGGGCTGGCTCTGGGGGGGATTTGGGGTCCCTCCCAAGCCAAACCATTCTGTGGATCTTTGATCCATTGGCAATATCTGGGGCAGGATTTCACACAGAGCACTTTCTGCTTTGCTGGTCTGGGGTGGCTTTTTTAGATTTTTTTGGTCCAGGTTTGAGTCACTTCCTTTCTTGACTCCCATGAAACCTTCACTCCCCTGTGGGTTAAATGGAATGGCAATGGCAAAGCTTCCCAGCTGAATTCTGTCCCTCTGTTCTGGCATTTCCTTTCCCTCAGTGGAACAACAAACTGTTCTGGGAGCTCCTGTGTTCTGGGAAGTGCTGAACATCTGCCCCAGAGCAAAAAGGAATTGAAATGTGCCATGAACAATGTTCAGCAAAGCATCATTTTCCATAAAATGGACTCTAAATTCTGCCAAAGCAGCTTCAGAAAGGTTTATTACATGTGCATCTTAAGTAAAAGTAATTGATTTAATCTTGCTGCATTGATGGTGTGTGAACAGACAGTGTAAACATTTCTGGAATCCCTTTGGAAGTTTCAGTGCTGCTTTAGTTGAGCCAGAGCCTGTATTTGTTGCTGCCTCAGGATGTCACTGCTGAAGGTGCAGCATGACTGACTCCTGTCTCTTTTGCTGAAGGGTGAGAAGGTGGAGGGGCTCCAAGCCCAGGCTCTGTATCCTTGGAGAGCAAAGAAGGACAATCACCTGAACTTCAACAAGAACGATGTGATCACGGTGCTGGAGCAGCAGGACATGTGGTGGTTTGGGGAGGTGCAGGGCCAGAAGGGCTGGTTCCCCAAATCTTATGTGAAGCTCATTTCAGGCCCCATCAGGAAATCCACGAGGTATTTTATTTGCTTTTTCCTCTCCTTTACTTCTCTGCTGGGGTAAAAGGAAATAGGAAGAGCTGCACATTTGAATTTTAAAGTTCTACCCTGTAAAATTTCTTTTTTATCTGGAGGGTTTTGACTTCCAATCCTGCAAATTTGTGTCAGCAAGAAGAAAACTGAGCTCAGTTCTCCTTGTGCCTCACTAACAAAAGATTAATTAACCTTCTTAATTTGATGTGCATTGCAAGTGAAAAATGAGTGTATTGGACTTTCTGAAGTACAACTCAAAGTCAGAGCTCCTCTCTGCCCAAAATTAAAAGGTATTCCTCAAATCTAAGTCTCTATTATTCTTGGAGGATTAAACATTGAAAATTTCATTTTTTGTAATGTGGAGGCAACATTAGCATTAGGAATGCAAATGAGAATGATTTTAGATAATTTCTTTTTCCTGAGGAAAATAAGGAGATGCAAAAATTCTGTATTTAAATATGACCATGACAAACCACTGGATTCAAAACTTTTATTTTGCACATTTATTGTCTCTTCTTTTAAAACCCAGGGGAGTTACTTGGGGGGTGCACGTGCATTTTCCAGTTTGAAATCTATTAATAATTTTTCTGAAGAGATTGAATTTTCTTAAATAACCATTATTTTCTTCTAAAGCATGGATTCTGGTTCCTCAGAAAGCCCTGCTAGTCTGAAAAGAGTGGCATCCCCAGCAGCCAAGGCAGCGTTGTCAGGGGAAGGTGAGTCCTGGCAGCCTCAAAAATTCTGGTTTTTACCAAAATCAGGAGTCAGATTGTGCTGTTCAAATCCATGTGCAAATCAGTTTGCCTCTAGAATAATTTACAATTATTATTATTATTAGACTGTTATTGTATGTTATGTCAAATATCACTAAAGATGTGAAAATATCTTTTGTAGTTTGTACTTTCTCCAATATTTCTATTTTTTTTGCCATTATTTTGGTAACATTTTCTGCTCCAGAATGGTTTATTGTTATATGTTGGTGTCAGGAATTGGTAAATATTTTAATTTTCCCCAAAGCTCACTCGCAGTGTTTAATTAAAGCTCTTAATGAATGACAATCACTCAGAGATCCTTGTGGGCAGCTCCATTTCCAGGCTGGAGCCTGAGGCACAGAATTCACAGAGATTTTTCTGGAGGGTTTGAAAAGGGAATTCCTGGCACTTGTCACCTTTCATTTTGGGTGGAATGTCCCCACTGGAGTTCCCTGCACTGCAATCAGATTAATTAAATCCCAGGGGAGGAGGTGAATTCATCTCAATGCAGGTTCCAGGTGAACTTTTGTGTCTTGTCCCTACAATTTCTAACTGCAGTTCCAGGTACAGTTTTAGGGACATTTACATTTAATTTACACCTGGCATGAGAAGCACAGAAAGTGAAAGGAGGGAAGAGCAGAGAAAAAGGAGAAAATCAATTATTTCCAAGTACAGCTGCTCTTGCTCAGTGAATATTCCAGAGAATCCCAACTGGTTTGGGTTGGAAGGGACCTTAAAAATCACCTTGTTCTGCTTTTCCTCCTATTTGAGGAGAAGGAATTGTGGACATGCAGAATCCTGTCCCAGGTGGGATATCTCAGGTAAAGAAACACAACTTTTGTTTAAACACTTCCAAAAAGCTGTGGTTTTTTTGAAACAATAAAGCAGGGATTTAATATCTCCTGTTGAGAGCTTGAAGAAAAGCTCATGTGCAGAAGGTGATTTTTAAGGTGCATCCCATCATCAGCACAAACCAGAAACATGTTTAATATCTAAATAAATGATTTATATACATTAAATTATAATAGCAAATTATATACACCCCCCCCGAGGCAGCCTTTGGACAGATCCTATTCATTTCTGACAGACACACTTTTATTCATGAAATACTGATCTTTTGATGAGTAATAAATAATAAATTTGCCTTTTGCCTTGCCCTGACGTGGCTGAGGTTTTTGCAGAGGATCTCTGGGTGTTTCTCAGGAATTTCCCACGTGCTTTTATTTCCATTTTTGCAGAGTACATTGCCATGTACACCTACGAGAGCTCGGAGCAGGGGGACCTGACTTTCCAACAAGGTGACCTGATCCTGGTGACAAAGAAAGATGGTGACTGGTGGACGGGAACGCTGGGTGATAAATCAGGAGTTTTCCCATCTAATTATGTGAGACTCAAAGATTCTGAGGTAGAGAAATGTTTTCTTTGGGGTTGTAGTGGTAGCTGCAAGGCAGGGCGTCCTAAGGGGAAAGCAAAATCCAGTGCAGGTTTACTGACAGAGATTGGGGAAGGAAAAATAATTGCAATAACAATAATAGCTGCATTTTACAACTTTATGTTTGAAATAATTTGGGGGATCTTCCATTAAAATAATGCCAACATCAGTGGTGCACTTGGCAGTTTTTTAGACACTGATCAGAACAGCCATGATTGTTTTATTGTCCTGGTAAGTTTTTAATCCCTAAGCTGTATCTTATTGCCATTATTAAAAAAAAAAACCAAAAATCTTCAAAGTAATATTTCAGTCTATTACATTTTTTTCCTGTCATTTTTTTGCAATCAAGAACAAGTTCTGCACCCAAACTTTGCTAACTACTGTGTTTATTTGACAGTTTTTGACTGAATAATAGAGATGTTTAGTAGATGTTTCATCTCTTTTTATCTTGAAATAATTCCATAGAACACATCCTGGATTTTTGGGATTTTTTTTTTCTTTAGGCATTCTAAAGAGAGATGTTCTCTCATTTATATGGCTTGAGAGGATAATTTATCTGCCAGTGGGAATTGTTTAGATTCAGAGTTGAGTACATGACTTGATGAGAAGGATTCTGGTTTATATCTCTAGAATAATGGGGAGTTCAATAAATAAAAATCAGTGGATTTGGGGGAATCTGGATGGTAATGCACAAGAGCACAGTGAAAGCCTGAGCACAGTCACTCCCTAAAAGCATTGGTGCTGCTGGAAAAGCCAGAGGATAAAACCTGCAGGCAAATCTGCAGCTGCAGGAAACCTTTCAAGAGGAAATTTCTGCAGTGTCAGGAAATTCCAACAGCATCCTCTGGGCCAGGATTGCAAACCCTGTAGGTTGGGATGTTGAATATTGCAGTCCTGGGAGAGAGGGGATTGGGACACTGGGGACAAACCCAGGTTCAGTTCTGAGTCCCCTTTTTCTCAGAGAGCTCAGTTTGGTTTTTCTGTCAGAGCACCTCACCCAAACCTGCTCCAAGTGCTCTTTTTGCTGGTGCAAATCCCCCCTTGAGCTCCAACCTTGATGAGAGAGGGAGGAGAAAAGCCAGAGCAGGTGCAGCCCCTGCCCCTGGGGTGTTGTTTCCATGCCAGGGGTGCTGTGCCTGCAGGGATTTCACAGTCCTGCCTCTCTGGGCACTCCCATGTGCTTGGACAGCTGCCTGGGCTTGGGAAATGTTCTGAAAAGAGAAATCATTTCATGTGTTCTGCACTACTGACAGGCCCAAAGAAAAGCAGGGGTGATCTTTCAGCAGCAAGGGCACAGTTTCTAGAAATGACTCAAAATCTCAATGGTTTCTATAGCAGAAGAATTTTTAAGATTTGTTCTTCTGTGCCAGGCTGTGCCCATTCACCTCAGGGTGCTAAAATAAACTATTCCTTGTTCCTTCAAGCTTCAGTTTATTAAAAAGGGGGGAAAGTCTTTGTTCTGCAGAGGAACAATGGCCAATCCTGAGGGTTTTCCTTAGGGGAGGTGAAGGGATACAGGGTTTTATTCTGGACACTGGTGAGAACTCCCTCTGTGGGGATGGGCTTGGAAACACAACAATTTCAAGACATCTGATTATAAAACTTTGCACAGGGGTTCAGAAAATAATCCCTGAATGGATCAGGTTGGGATTTGAAGGGTCCTGCTGTCCAGCACAATTGGCAAGTCCTTGCTGGGGGTTATTAAATGGACAAAGGAAGTTTTGCTCTGCTGGCTCAGGAGACTCCATCACTTGTCACAGAATGGCCTGAGGTGCTCAGTGAGTGTCCCACGTGTGCAGGGGGACACAGAGCAGGGCCTGTCCTCTCTGCTGCCTTTCCTCTCAGCAGAAGGAATAGGAAATGCTTCTCCATCTCCTGAGTGGGCCAGAAATGGGGACCATCCTAAATGCCTTATTTCTGAATTAATTATTTATTGAAATGCTGTGGGACTTTTCCATGTGTTCCTTCTGCTTTTGCACCGAGGGTTCAGAGAATCCTCAAAGACAATTCAGACTCAGTCTGGTCAAGGTGGATTTGAAGTTTCTATTTTAAAATCATCTCTCTGTTTCCCAGTACAGACAATGGCCCAGCCTGTTTGGTCTGTCCATGTTGGCTTCTAATCCAGCAGCGTGGCTGCTCACCAAGGCCTCTTTGGGAGGAGGGGTTCTCTGAAGGTCCAGGCATTTCCTGAGGAGGGCAGAGGGTGTTCCCCTGCCAGAAACACTGCCCAGAGCAGAGGGAATTGCAGGAATCACCCAAACACTGCCCAGAGCAGAGGGAATTGCAGGAATCACCCAAACGCTGCCCAGAGCAGAGAGGATTGCAGGAATCACCCAAACGCTGCCCAGAGCAGAGGGAATTGCTGGAATCTCCCTGTCAGTCCATGGGGCTGTCCAGGCCATGTCCCCCTGTCCCCAGAGCTGCACTGGGGTTTGTCCCTGATCCCTGTGGGGCTCTCCTGGGTCCCTGCTCTGTGACCCAGCTCACAGGGGTGCAGGGAAGGCTGAGGATCTGGGGACAATCAGAAGAATGCAGGGAGGAGAGGAAGATTTGCTGCTCCTGGGGGTGTAACTGTAATAATGTGACAGTGATTAATCTGGAAGGAGCACTGAGCATCCAGGCAAGCTGAGGGGGAATCTGATAATTCATTTTCTGAGTGGCTCAGAACCAACACACAGGTTTGAATGGCCCTTTTCTCTCAGCCACTGAGCTGTTCTTTAGTTACTCCTCAGTTCCATTTCTGCCACAATCCCCAAATTTTCAGAGCAGCAGTTGATAGGGACAATATGGAGGAGGAAACTGTTCTTTTCCAGAGAGGATTTAGGATTCTGTGGAAACCTTCAGGTGATTTGATGTTGGCTCCAAGTTTGTAAGGAGGATCCTGAAGGTGAAGAGGGTGAAGTGGAGGGAGGTGGAAGTGTTGAAGGCAAGAGGACATTTCTGGCTCCCCAGCATTTCTGACACAGTGCAGTTTAGATTTAAGTTGCTCTTTTCCACCTCAGACCTCTTTACTGCAGGACACAGAACTGGCAGTGGCCTGGGAGGAAACTGCAGGAGTTATTTAGGTTTGTCAGGTTTTTCCAGGATTTCTTGTGGCTGTTCAAAGCTTTTTTTGCTTCCCAATCCCTTGGATGCTGATGTCCATCCCTCACCTCACCCTGTCTGGGCACAGAGAATTTCTCAGGAATATTTGCAATCCAGCTGTTTGGAGGGATGAAAACTTCTATTATTGTTTCATCTCAGCTCCACAGAATTCCCATTCTGTAGATAAATGGATATGCAATTACAAATGGGATCTACTTTGGAATTACAGATGGGATCTACTTTAGAATTACAAATGGGAAATACTTTAGAATTATAAATGGGATCTCCTTTGGTATTTGCAGCCCATGAAAGGGAATAAAAATCTGCACTTCTGCATTAACAAATCATCCACTTCATGCTTGGTATTTATTCCCAGATATGTAAAATATGAAGGATTTCTGTAAGAACAGAATTTCCTGTGAGTTTTTGACTCCCATGCTTGTTGAGTGTGTTGAGTGCAGCTTTGTAAATCATTTGCATGGACTGGAGAAAGAAACCTGAGTGCTAAACTTGCATCTTGTTCTCCATTTCAAGGCTCCAGGAGCAGCTGGGAAAACAGGAAGCTTAGGGAAGAAACCTGGTGAGTCAAATATTGTGACAGCACCTTCTCTGTGTTCTTAAGTGTTCCATTCAATGGCAACAAATCCTTTTCCAGGAAAACAGAGTATGTTTGCTCTTGGTCATCTTGGAGTAATTTGCACTGATGAAAAGCATTATAAAATAACTGGAATAAATGCAGTTAATAAAGAATGTAACTGTAATAAAAGAATTCATCCTCTAATCATTCTAGCGTGTCAATCACTAAATAAATATAGCTAGAGACTAAAACTCTGCAAAAAAGTGAATGCAAACTTCCTGATGGATTGCTCAGCACAACAGTGGGATCCATTCCCCCTTGTCCTGGCTTTGTCCAGCTCCCTCTCCAGGTTCCTTAGCTCTGAAAGCAGAGGAGAAATTTCTTATTAAATCCAGCAGGTGCTGGCAGGAGAGTGGAAGGTTTAAGGAGAGAAAAACCAAGAGCAGAGTCAGTGCTGGGTGAGGGCAAAGCCAGGGAGTTGTTGGGCCAGGAACGTGGTTCTGCTGCTGGAAAGGGCAGGGCTGGGTGGGATTTTGGGCAGGAATTGTTCCCTGGCAGGGTGGGCAGGGCTGGCACAGGGCACCCCTGGATCCCTGGAATGTTCAGTTCCAGGTTGGACATTGGGACAGTGGGAGGTGTCCCTGCCATGGCAGGGGTGGCTCTGGGGGGGATTTGGGGTCCCTCCCAACCCAAACCATTCTATAACTCCGTGGATTTGGGTGCTAATCCCAGATCCAGCTTTAAAGCACCTTCAGATCTCAGCTCCAGGCCTTTCCCTCCCCTGTCCCTGCTCAGGGAGGTTCTGTTGATTCCTGGGTTCCTTGCAGTGCCCCTGGATTGCTCCTCATCCTCCCCATGCTGCTCATTTGTATCTCTAATGCTTCTCTGATAGATTTTAATGTCCCTCCTGGTCTTTTCCTTCTAAATTTCACATCAATCATTTGATCATTTCCATGTTGACCTTCAACTCTCTTTGTATCCTCCCTGCACCAAGCCCTCCCTCAGTTCCCAACTTCCAGGGTTTGTGGATTCCTCCAACTTTGGAATGAATCCCAAAGGGATGAGGGAATGTCCTGGGAGCCACAGAGAAGGTCCAGCAGCAGCAACCCCACTTTGTGGGAAATTTTATGTGTGTGTGAAACTTAACTTTGTGTGTGTGAAACTTTGTGCTAAACTTTGTGTGAGTTAGAAAATTTGTGTGTGAAACTGTGTGTGTGTTAAACTTCATGTGTGTGAAACTGTGTGTGAAACTTCGTGTGAAACTTCGTGTGTTAATTGTTAATCTTTGTGTGTGTGAAATTTCATGTGTGAAACTTTGTTAAATTTATCTTTGTGTGTGTTAAACTTTGTGTTTGTGAAACTTTGTGTGTGAAATTTTATGTGTGAAACTGTTATAAACAACTTCGTGTGTGTGAAACTGTGTTAAACTTTTTGTGAAACTTTGTGTGTGTGAAACTTTGTGTGTGAAATTTTATGTGTGTGAAACTTTGTGTGTTAAATTTAACTTTGTGTGTGGAACTTATGTGTGTTCAACTTTGTGTGTGTTAATCTTTGTGTGTGTGAAACATTCTGTGTGAAACCTTTTGTGTGTGAAACCTTGTGTGTTAAATTTAACTTCGTGTGTGTGAAACTTGGTGTGTGTTCAACGTTGTGTGTTAAATTTTGTGTGTGGAACTTTTTGTATTAAACTTTGTGTGTTAAACTGTGTGTGTCAAACTTGGTGTGTGTTCAATGTTGTGTGTTAAATTTTGAGTGTGAAACTTTTTGTATTAAACTTTGATTGTTAAATTTTGTGTGTGAAACTTCGTGTGTGAAACTTTTAGTATTAAACTTCGTGTGTGTGAAACTTTGTATTAAACTGTGTGTGTTAAACTGTGTGTATTAAATTTTGTGTGAAACTTCGTGTGTTAAGCTTTTTGTATTAAATTTTGTGTGTGTGAAACTTTGTGTGTGAAACTTGGTATGTGTTCAATGTTGTGTGTTAAATTTTGTGTGTGAAACTTTTCATATTAAACTTTGTGTGTGTGAAACTTTGTGTGTTAAAATTTTTATATTAAACTTTGTGTGTGTGAAACTTTTCATATTAAACTTTGTGTGTGTGAAACTTTCAGTTGCACTTTTGTAGTTAAACTGTGTGTGTTGCCCTCAGCCTGCCCTTGCCTTGGGGACAGGGCTGAGCTGATTTTGGGAGGATTCCACAATTCCTGCAGCTCCTGTTGGAGCCAAACCTGCCTTAACCCTTTAGGGACCAGGAGGAAATCCAACTTTGGGTAATTCCCTGGAATTGGGAGCTCCCAGTTCCTCTGTGTCCCCTCCCTGTTCTGGGAGAGCCTCCATGGAGCAGAAATTTCCAGAGAAATCCTGCCTGAGGCATTGGGAAAACATTCATGGTTGGCTCAGGGGCTGAAAAATCTTCTGCCAGCCTTAATTGGCATCTCTTGGTGCAAATTCATTAATTTGTCATTGATGTGTCTCCTCTTCCTAATTAGGGAGCTCAGTGCAAAGGTTTATTTACTGGAAAACACTGGAGTTTAAGAGCTGTACTCTTCTACTTCTACTTCTTCTTCTTCTTCTTCTTCTTCTTCTTCTTCTTCTTCTTCTTCTTCTTCTTCTTCTTCTTATTATTATTATTATTATTATTATTATTATTATTATTATTATTATTATTATTATTCTGTCTCCTCTTCCTCATTAGGGAGCTCAGTACAAAGTACAAAAGTATTTGCTGGAAAACACTGGATTTTAAGAGCTGTACAGTTCCTATTATTATTATTATTATTATTACTACTACTACTACTATTATTATTATTACTATTATTATTAATGTGTCTCCTCTTCTTAGCTCAGTGCAAAGGTGTATTTACTGGAAAGCACTGGATTTTAAGAGCTGTACAGTTCCTATTATTATTATTATTTTTATTATTATTATTATTATTCTCTATTTCAAACATTTTTGATCTCCTACCATAGAGCTGCTGCACGTCTGGTTTATAATTCATTTATTCCTGTAGTGCTCTGAACCCCTCATTGATTTTACAATTACCACATGCATTGATGGAAATACATCAATCCATGATAATTTTATGGGAAGAAATAACACATGTTGGATAAAATGTGGTCAGATTTTTTTCAAATTAACCTTTTCTTTCCTCCTCTGCCTCAACAGAAATTGCCCAAGTTATTGCCTCTTACACAGCAACAGGCCCAGAGCAGCTGACTCTGGCTCCTGGCCAGTTGATTCTCATCAGGAAGAAGAATCCAGGTGGTTGGTGGGAAGGAGAGCTCCAAGTTAGTTCCTTTTTTTTTTTTTTTCCCCTAGTAAAATTCCAGGAAAAAAAGTTGTTTTTAATAGTTCAAAAAAAATGCTGAATGTGTCAGTGGTAAATAAATTTTGATCATATTCTGCACTGCAGCAGTTGCTAATAAAAGACCTTTCCAAAAAACAGATAAATCAATAAAACACCTTTCCAAAATAGAGATAAACAATAAAACACCTTTCCAAAAAACAGATAAATCCAAAACACAGATAAAGAATAAAACACCTTTCCAAAACACAGATAAAACAATAAAACACAGATAAAGCAATAAAACATCTTTCCAAAATAGAGATAAACCAATAAAACACCTTTCCAAAAAACAGATAAATCAATAAGACACCATGCCAAAACACAGATAAATCCAAAACACAGATTAATCAATAAAACACCTTTCCAAAATACAGGTAAAACCCATAAAACAGCTTTCCAAATCACAGATAAAACAATAAAAAACCTTTCCAAAATAGAGATAAACCAATAAAACACCTTTCCAAAATACAGATAGACCAATAAAACACCTTTCCATGACACAGATAAATGAATAAAACAGCTTTCCAAAATAGAGATAAATCAATAAAATACCTTTCCTGGTGATTTTTTTTTTTTCATTTTTATGGAGAAATCCTTTTCCAGGATTCCTTTGGGGTTTTCTCTCACTAACTTTGATGCTGCTGGTAATTTTTAGCTTTAAAGACTCTCCATTAAATGTATTTTAAGACAAAAAAGAAATTTCTGCCACAGTTATCACTGAGGCTCTGGAACAATTAAATTCTGGTTGTGTAAATACTCCTGTGTAAGTTTAGATACTTGAATGTCTTACATGTGGTTTTACAATTGGGTTTTATTTTATTTATTTTATTTTGTTACCAATCCCTGACTGTTCTTTTTTGTTCTCCTATTGCACACTTGGGAGTCAGAGTGAAAGAAAAATAAGGCAAAAGTTTTAAGCATTACATTGCTGGTTTAATGCAGTGTTCAAAAAGATCTTAAATTATCTAAATAGATTTTAGATCAACGTTTTCTTTTTCAGTACAGATTTAGACAGGGAATAAATTAGTTCAAGAACAGTAAATCCTTTGGATGACTTTTTTCCCACCAAAGTTAACAATCTGTTTTTAAGAGGCAAAATTCTCCTTGCCCAAAATGCCAACCTTGTTCTAACACAAACAGAATAATCAGTTAAAATCATTCTTGATACTGAGTTCAAAGCTGGGATTGAGGGCTCTGGAAGAACCTTTCTTCTGTAAGGGCTTTGATGGATTTGATTTGGGGAAATAACAGGGTGAGGTTTCCTGCTTTGGTGACACAAAGCATTGAAAATGTTGGATATATTTCTATAAAAGAGATAAGAAATTTAGATTTTTAATCTCTGTTTAAAGTGCCACAATCTGGAGATCTATTGATCTGTAACTCTTTACACCATGAATAATTAAAGCCATTAATAAGATTGTGTGTTAACAGGCTAATACTCATGCAGTGCTGCAGAGCCAGCAGAGTTTTTTTCCTTTTTCCTTTTCCCTGCTGGGCGGAGCTCTGGGGGCAGCCCCGGGCTGTGCTGAGCAGCCTCTCCCTGTGCAGGCCCGGGGCAAGAAGCGCCAGATCGGCTGGTTCCCTGCCAACTACGTCAAACTGCTCAGCCCTGGCACCAGCAAGGGCACCCCCACCGAGCTGCCCCGGCCTGCAGCAGCCTCAGGTGAGCCCTGGTACCCTGCCCTGGTACCCTGGTACCCTGCCCTGGTACCCTGCCCTGGTACCCTGGTACCCTGTCCTGGTACCCTGCCCTGGTACCCTGCCCTGGCATCCTGCCACCCTGTCCTGGTACCCTGCCCTGCCCCCTGTGCCTCTGCTGGGTCTTCAGCTGTGAGGGGTGGGTGCTCCAGAGCCTCTGGGGTGTTCCTGCATCTCCCATCCCATCCCAAATCCCATGCCAAATCCCATCCCAAATCCCATCTCAAATCCCATCCCATCCAATCCCATCCCACTGATCCCATCCCAGATCCCATCCCATCCCAAATCCCATCCCATCCAATCCCATCCCACTGATCCCATCCCAAATCTCATCCCAAATCCCATCCCAAATCCCATCCCATCCCAAATCCCATCCCATCCCAAATCCCATCCCATCCCATCCCATCCCTGACTCAGAAGCTCTGGGATGTGTCTCTATCCCCAAACCAATCCAATCCATCCCTGCACCGTGGGACAGGAGGTTTGGGATGTTCCTCCATACCAAAACCACCCCATCCCTGCACTGACTGTGGGACAGCAGCTCTGGGATGTGTCTCCATCCCATCCCAAATCCCATCCCAGCGCTGCCTTGCCCTGACTGTGGGACAGAAGCTTTGGGGTGTTCCCCCATCCCATCCACTGATCCCATTATCCCATCCCATCCCATCCCACTGATCCAATCCTATCCCATTATCCCATCCCATCCCATTATTCCATCCCATTCCATTATCCCATTATCCCATCCCATCCCATTATCCCATCCCATCCCACTGATCCCATCCCATTATCCCATCCCATCCCATTATCCCATCCCATCCCATCCACTGATCCCATTATCCCATCCCATCCCATCCCATCCCATCCCATCCCTTCCCTTCCCACTGATCTAATCCCATCCCATTATCCCATCCCTTCCCTTCCCACTGATCTAATCCCATCCCATTATCCCATCCCATCCCATTATCCCATCCCATTATCCCATCCCATCCCATCCACTGATCCCATTATCCCATCCCATCCCACTGATCCAATCCCATTATCCCATTATCCCCTCCCTGGGCAGACAGGACTGGAGAGGCTCAGGAGGGTCCAGGGCTGCTGTCCTGCTGCAGCCTCTGTGTGTCCTGGGGTGAGCAGGGACAAGCCCCCCATGGGGAGGGACCTTCCTGCTGCACGTGAGGGTTCATGGAGGGACCCCGGAGCCACCGAGCACCCACAGGTCACAGAAGCCCAGCATGGATGGGCTGGAAGGGCCTCTCCACATCCCATTCCATGGCCCTGTCTGTGTGGAGCTGTTGGTTGTTCTAAAGATCCAAAAAATGCCTTCTCTAAAGCCTCCTGCAATTCAGGGTTACAATGGTAGCTCAGCATTGAGACACAATCTTTTACAAGGAAATATGAGATTTTTTTTTTAATATATTTCTGAAATTATTTCAGGTTTGACAATCTGGGACTTTCCCCACATGCTAAATTTCACAGAATAAAATTTTAGTACTTTTTGCATTGCCTGCAGAACATCAAAATCTTAATTAAACTGTAATTTTTTTAAAAAAAGAGAGTAGCTATTAGGCAAATTGAAGTAAGTTGCTGGCTTGTTGCAAGGATGAAAATAAAAGCAAATTTTAGGATTAATCAACTGGAGAGAAGCTGCCAGCAAGGCTCATTAAGAGAAGTCTGATGTCTGGTGGGAAAAACCAGAAGCCCTGTGGCCTGGCAAAGAGAAAGCAGCAGAGAAATAGAGGAGATTCTTTATTTAATTAAACAGTCCTGCTGCTTCAGAGAATTGAGGGAGCTGCTTTGTGAGGAGTGAGCAGAACCAGCTGTATTCTCACATTGGATGAGTTCCACTGCAAGGAAATAGAAAATCCCTGCTGGAACCAGTGCTGGGGGCCTGGATGGCCTGGGATGCTTTTTGTCCAGTCCTGGTAATTTTCTCTTGGATTTTCTAAGATTTTTTTTTTTGTTCTGAAAACCTCACTGGGACAACGAGGACGTCACCTTTGGCTTTCTTTTGGATTATGCAGCTTCCAATAGTGGAAATTCAAATATGTCCCAGTTTTTCCTGTCCCCTGACCAGTGCTGGTGGGGGCTCCAGGGACCCCCTGGCACAGTGGGAGGTGTCCCTGCC